CACGACAAGAAATTAAATCTGGCATAACAAGGATCTGGGTGGAAATTGTCACGTAAATACAAAATCACTCATGTCGACCCGAGTACGTGATTACTTAACGTGCATTGTTAGCTTCTCAGGTACATAAATAGGAATAGTTTGTTGTCATTTTACACACTACTTGCGGGAAATAATTTGTATTAAGTTTCTGAAAATAATCGATGGAAAATACCCTAACACAATCAAAATCACGGCAGTTTTGTTTATATTTTGAAAGCTGCGTTAGGAGATTCCCAAACTGACGTATGACAATGCTCGTTGATGAGTATACTGTGTGTTATATTAAAACCTTTTCATATCCTATTCGTGCTTGTTAAAACGCTACTTCCCCATGACCAACCATATTATTTCATAAACAATCTCTATATTTTGCTTTAATTAAAACTGTTCTTCCACTTTAACTTGTGTTAGATGTTGAACTGTTAATTTGACAAATCTAAACGACATTAGGTCCAACGTGACCCAGTGTATCAACCAGGATACTATATACCACAATACAAACCCTCTGTTCACCGCGGTGGCCAATTGCAAGTGGTAAAGGCATCTGACATTCTGCTACCACTAGCCCTCCGACCTCTGGGTCGCGGGTCACCTATGGGGGCAGTCGCCAGGTAGTGGCCGTAGGTCGGTGATTTTTTTTCGGGAACTCCGGCTTTCCTCTACAACCAAAACCTGGCACGTCTTTAAATGACCATAGCTGTTAATAAGACGTAAAACACAAACAAACTTATCAAATCAAACAAACTCCCTGTGACGAAGACTACTGGGGAGGAAAGACCAGACGGTTGTCTTATGGCATGCCGTTCTTCCAATCATACTGTATACCGGGAAATCTTCACCCAGTCAAACTTTCGCTCTTCGCCAGAACATTCGCCCTACACTTATTATTACTATGCATTTTATGTTGTTCCGGTGTACAGTAACAGATTGGTACACGATGGACAGTTACCCTCGGATAGACCGGGGAATCTACTATTGTTTATAACAAATGCCGAAAACGAGGACTTGTCAGAAAAAAACATCATTAAAACGTAAAAAAAGGGACTGAAATATTTTGTTTTTATTTTTTCTACTTGTACGTACCATTTCAAAGTTTAAGCTATACCCGGATCGTTCATGATTTTGTGGCAAATAAACATGTATGATGTACTGTCAGAACTTAATTTGTTTTACAAATCAAACAATACATGTTCGTGAACACCAAATTATACATTTTACGGTTAAAAGAGTATTTGCTACAAATGTTAATGTAAATATATAAATTAGTTTATTGATAGTTATAAACCTTAAAATCACTTACATGGTAAAATAATACTTGAAGTGCATTGAAATGAATTTACCTATCTAACGTGACCAGGGTGTACCCTTAAATGATATGGCTATGAATCATGGGTTGAGTATTTGATGATAAAATCTTCTTGACATTTATAACCATTGTAAATATTTCAGAAATTTAAGTCTTCACTTTTCACATTTGGTCATTTAAGTTTACACGTAAACTCCTGTGATAACAGTACAGTGTTTACTTGGTAATATTTGGTCTACTATCGCCTTACTGTGGCCTCACCTCAGCCGATCGGGACCTATTATTAGCTTTCCATGTTCTATTTTACAGTTATTAAATGCCTTCCTATGGTAAAGTAAAAATATTTGACCCGAATTGTTGGTAAATTATCATGTATTATATTGCACGAGGCTGCCGACTTATAACACATATTTTCTATGTCAAAATTCTGGTACAAGTCTTTATATGATAAATACCAGAAAAATATACTGCTATGAATGCAAATAGGTCAGTATCATTTTGAAGCTTCTCCTCTCACCATCGTAAAAAACACGTTTATATGACGCAAGGCTGTTCCATGAATATCTTACTGTGGTCTACTCTTTGCTAACCGATATCTATTCTCAGTTAACCGTAATGTATTCCCAGCTAAACACAGTCTTTTCCTAGATAACCACAGCCTATTTTCAGTTAAACGTATTTTTTTCTCATGTAATCACAGTCTATTTTTTCTCAGCTAATCGCAACCTAATCTCAGCTAACTGCATTCGATTCTCAGCTATTTTCAGCTAACCTGGATTTTTTCTCAGATAACCGTGGTATATTCTCAGCTAACCGAGGTCTATGCTCAGCTACCCGTGGTATATTCTCAGCTAACCGTGGTATATTCTCAGCTAACCGTGGTATATTCTCAGCTAACTTGGTCTATTCTCAGCCACCGTGGTCTATTCACAGCTTACCGTGGTTTAATTTCAGCTAACCGTGGTCTATGCTCAGCTAACCTTGGTCTATTCTCAGCTAACCGTGGTTTATTTTCAGCTAACCGTGGTCTATGCTCAGCTAACCTTGGTATTTTCTCAGCTAACCGTGGTATATTCTCAGCTGACCTTGGTCTTTTCTCAGCTAACCGTGGTATATTCTCAGCTTACCTGGATTTGTTCTCAGATAACCGTGGTCTTTTCTCAGCTACCGTGATCTATTCTCAGATAACCGTGGTCTTTTCTCATCTAACGTGATCTATTCTCAGCTAACCTTGGTCTTTTCTCAGATCAACGGTCTAATATCAGCTAACCATGGTTTATTCTCAGCTAACCTTGGTCTATGCTTAGCTAACCTTAGTCTATTCTCAGCTAACCGTGGTATATTCTCAGCTAACCGTGGTCTATTCTCAGACAACCTTGGTCTATTCTCAGCTAACTGTGGTCTATTCTCAGCTAACCTTGGTATATGCTCAGCTAACCTTGGTCTATTCTCAGCTATCGTGGTCTATTCTCAGCTTACCGTGGTCTATTATCAGCTAACCGTGGTATACTCTCCGCTAACCTTGGTTTATTCTCAGCTAAACGTGGTTTATTCTCAGCTAACCGTGGTCTATGCTCAGCTAACCTTGGTCTATTATCAGCTAACCTTGGTCTATTCTCAGCTTAATGTGGTCTATTCTCAGCTAACCGTGGTCTATTCTCAGCTAACCGTGGTCTATTATCAGCTTACCGTGATCTATTCTCAGTTACCGTGGTATACTCTCAGCTAACCTTGGTCTATTCTCAGCTAACCTTGGTATATTCTCAGCTAACCGTGGTATATTCTCAGCTAACCATGGTATAATCTCAGCCACCGTGGTCTATTCTCAGCTTACCGTGGTCTATTCTCAGCTAACCGTGGTATACTCTCCGCTAACCTTGGTCTATTCTCAGCTAAACGTGGTTTATTCTCAGCTAACCGTGGTCTATGCTCAGCTAACCTTTGTCTATTATCAGCTAACCTTGGTCTATTCTCAGCTTAATGTGGTCTATTCTCAGCTAACCGTGGTCTATTCTCAGCTAACCGTGGTCTATTATCAGTTACCGTGGTATATTCTCAGCTAACCTTGGTCTATTCTCAGCTAACCTTGGTCTATTCTCAGCTAACCGTGGTACATTCTCAGCTAACCATGGTATAATCTCAGCTAACCTTGGTCTATTCTCAGCTTACCGTGGTATATTATCAGCTAACCGTGGTCTATTCTCAGTTACCTTGGTATACTCTCAGCTAACCTAGGTCTATTCTCAGCTAACCGTGGTATATTATCAGCTAACCGTGGTCTATTCTCAGTTACCTTGGTATACTCTCAGCTAACCTAGGTCTATTCTCAGCTAACCGTGATATATTATCAGCTAACCATGGTATAATCTCAGCTTACCTTGGTCTATTCTCAGCTAACCGTGGTCTATTATCAGTTACCGTGGTATATTCTCAGCTAACCTTGGTATATTCTCAGCTAACCATGGTATAATCTCATCTAACCTTTGTCTATTCGCAGCTTACCGTTGTATATTATCAGCTAACCTTGGTCTATTCTCAGCTTAATGTGGTCTATTCTCAGCTAACCGTGGTCTATTCTCAGACAACCTTGGTCTATTCTCAGCTAACTGTGGTCTATTCTCAGCTAACCTTGGTATATTCTCAGCTAACCGTGGTATATTCTCAGCTAAACATGGTATAATCTCAGCTTACCTTGGTCTATTCTCAGCTAACCGTGGTACATTCTCAGCTAACCATGGTATAATCTCAGCTAACCTTGGTCTATTCTCAGCTAACTGCAGTTTATTCCCAGCTAACTATGACTTATTCCCAATTGTTCCCTGTAATCACTTTCAAAAAAATTGGTATTACTATATATACTAGTCTTTCTAGCGACCAGAAACTTCATTAACCCTTATTTTTCAAACTTCTCTAAAGATTTCAATCTATTTTAAGTAATCTATGATGTGTTTAGCGAATTTCTATACAACAGACATAGCAAAGAGCTTTAGTTTGTTTACTGAAGGTCCTTGATCCGGAAATGGTTGACATATTCTGAATGGTTCTTTATATAATTACGTACGGAGTCTAGTGTTACTAGGAGTACAAATCCAGAAGTCTTGTATCGCTTTATGTAGCTTTACCACTTCCTTCGGGAAAGAACACTTTTACATCAAACCTGTTAACGAAGTCAACCCTTGAGTAGTCCATTGATTCATTATATAATGTCATAGATATTTTAAGAACAATTTATAATAATACTACCAACTTATTTTTGTTATCTGATTATGTTCTTAAGCTAACAAATCAATGCCAGTAATTTAAAGCGACATCAGAGGCTAGGTTAGATATGATAATCTGTATATGATGTCCTTGAATAGGATCTACCTTTAATACATCTCTCTTATAGAGCAGAAAATTAAACTCGTTAGGACTGTCGACCGCTACACACATAATATGATCGGGGTGAATATGGTCCCGCGGAAAACCTAATCTTCACTGTATAATTGGCTCTTGCGATTGCCCCGAGTGACAATTTATCCCATTATAGTCCATTTTCACTGGTGATCTAAATAATGTTGTAAACCATGGTCACTCACTCTAACGAGGAAAATTGATCTTAAAGGGGGCGGGGCAAATTGCTATATATTTCTGTCGCTAGTAACGCAACGGAACAATGGACACACGGTCACTGGAAACGTTAGTGACTATCCCGTCATTTCGCTGAATTACATTGGATACAACAAGGGGCTTTTATACTTTAAGCGCCTAGCTCTGTTGAATGATGTCGTGTCCAATTTCACTTGTGATACTCACAGCGTAAAACATAAGGATTGAAAGTCAATTTCACCCGATATATTATATTTGAAGCGTAAATGGTAATATTGACATTACGTGTTAACTGGGGAGAAGGTATTTGATCCGGACGTAGTGATCCATCGAGCGGACCGCCTGGCTAGAGACATAGAGACAAAAATCACACACCGCGTGATATCTCTGTGAACCTCAGTCGTTGTCGGTTTATTATAGGTGTTCGATCATTTACACGCTGTCTGTGTAAATACATATCCGTCATCCGGCACTTACAACCCTTTTATTATTGTATTGATATTCCGCGCACGTCACGATGGAAGGACAACTCAGTGCCGACAATCTGAAGGCACACGACGCACATCTAAAGGGGTCGGTCGGTATACAACCTGAAAGAGGTGCGGATAGCTCTACCAAGTCATCACTGACTCACAAAATGGGACTACCATCTAACAAACTAAGCCTCAAGGATAGGCTTACCTTAGGGGGTCACTCTTTGACGGAAGACAAAAAGAGTGATGCTGGAAGTGGTTCGAGGCTATCGACCAGTATGAACAAAACGAGGTTCAGCCGCCTTCGAACTAAACTAAAGATACAAGGTCTTCTTGGCGGGACTTTATCAAAGGCAGGATCTGAGTCTGGTCATAAACCGATCAAGTCGTTGGAGAATACCTACAAAGTAGAACCTGAGGATGGAAAGCAATTTTCTATATCTAAAGCCGAGCAGATTATGACGAACGTGTTCGATGCGTATTTAAAAGGTAGACAGTATGACGCCAAAAGGTTTCGACTTCTGTCGAAATCTTTAGCAGACATGATCAAAGAGAGAATGAAACTAAGTGGCATTGCGCGGTACAAGATCGTAGCTACTGTGCTTATTGTGGAGGACTGTGGTCAATCCGTCCGACTGGGCAGCCGCAGTCTCTGGGACACAGAACATGATAACCACGCGACTGTTGTATTCAAAGGAGATGGATTTGAAGCCGTCGGATCCATTTTCGCCACATTTTTCGCCTGACTTAAACTATCGGTGAATTGTTAATGGTGCTTGCTATACGATATTACAATCGTTTGATACCATACCGTTCGGACATACGTCAAGTGTATGTTTCATGTATAAATATATATATATTGTTATCATTATAAGTGGATGATTACATTGTGACTTTTTTTTCGTATTCGCAAGAGGTATATTTTCATTCTCTCTTGTGGGGTGACCGTAAAGGAGCTGATTATTTATATTTGTTGATGCATTAATTCAAGATGGATATTTTTGCACTCCCAGATTTTGTAAAATATGTGTGAAAGGGGCACAAATTACGAGTGGAGTTTTACCATCTGTGTATCCTTAGATATTTTTATTACATTCGAGGCAATGGCCGTGAAGAATGGACATCGTGCTTGCTTTTGTATGTCAACATTAACTGGATTCACTCTTTGAAGTCCTGTGATAAGCAGGAAGCAAATGGAAGAATATGTATGTCGCAGAAATAATCAGAGGTAATTGTGTCGCCGGAACGACCAACGGTACAATATGCAGTAACCAATGGTTCAGTGTGTTGCGAAAGCAAATAGTGTTTTGGGATATATTTTCTCAACAAGCACGTCATTTCAGAAGTGGTTGTGAATTGGTTATGTGTATTCGATTGGTGTTTGTATATCGTCAGTGTCCAATTGTCCGAAGTCGACAATTTGATTTAAAGGGATTATTATACTGACCGTTGCCGGCCAATCATGACCATTACTCCCTCCGGCCATGATCAGTTTATATTGCATATTGACATGACCTCATATTTACAAAACCTCAAAACATATTTGCAAAGGGACTTAAATCTACAACATAAACACTGTTGAAGATTAATCCCTAAGGTACATCATAAAGTTTGTGTTCAAACTATTCAGAGCTCGCGTGCTAAATCGTAAATGCATATATATGAAATACCATTGACTATCTTCTAAATGAGGTTTATATATATACATAAATACATTTCCGTCCATGAGTTATTAAAACGAAATTTCACTTTGATACATTATTTGTGATGATTTGTCCTTGTCGATAAAACAGTTTTATTTTAAAGGTATTTACCTGTTTAGATAAAACGTCACATAGGCAATATCTGTATGTACATTATGCACCCATCATTTACGACTTCATGTTATATATTTGAAAGCGATATTTGATATTCTCACCAATAGCTGTGATAGTTGGATCATATTCGATGGCTATTTTGTTTACACTTTGGTTGGCATGACAACCCGAGGCGTTGTTGATAGACTTCAGTATCGACATGGAACGGCATGATAATTGATCTATTTGACCAACTAATGGATTCCACTCGGCAGAAAGAAAACCGGCCTTATCGCCCACACACACTCTAGGTATATAATGAAATCTACCTTATAGTATTCACACACCCTAGGTGTAAATCAGATTGATAGTAAACTTACTTATCGGCCCCATGGAACGCCAAATTAACATATATATATATATAAATAAGTTCAACTTTCTTCGAATAATTAAAGACTACAATCAAATAAATACAAGTTAAATTCCAGTGAGAAGTCTCCAGTTCACTCAGTATACGTATAAATATGTGTACCTATCTTTAATTATTTAAATTATCTTCAAATGAATTGGACCTATCTTTAATTTGGTGAATACAAAATAAAAATTATAATGTTCCCCCTGTTGAAGATATCTTCAATTGGTTGAAAATATCTTTAATTCAATTGAAGATGATTTCAATTCAATTGAATACATATATTCATTTTTGTAATTGAAGATATGTTTATTTCATCTCATTTGAAGATACCTCAATTGAATTAAGGATAGTATCTGTTGATACGAGTTACTGATATCTTCAGCTCAATTGATGATATCTCAATTGAATTGTACCTATCTTCAAATGAAAATAACAAAGTCTCCCCTGTCGAATATATCTTCATTCGAATTCAATTTAATGGCATTTCAATTCAATTTAATACATATACAATTGCAAATAGGTTCAATTCATCTTATTCGAAGATACCTAAATTGAATTTAGGATAGTATTTCTTTATGTGAGTTACTTCGGTTCAATTGAAGATATATACAGTTGAATTGTACCTATCTTCAATTATTTGAAGATATGTGTAATTATTTGAAGATAGGTATAATTATTTGAAGATAGGTGTTATTATTTGAAGATGGGTGTTATTATTTAAAGTTACGGGTAATCGTTTGAAGATATGTTAATTGAGTGTTCAATAGTTCTGATACATCCTAGATATATAACAATATATAAGAAATTCAATCTTATCCTCCTCATTCGCCTGTGTATATGTAGTACACACATCCCAGCCTTTTTATTCCTAAGCCTGGAGACTAAAAGTGTGTTTTTTTAAAGATTTCAATCTTTTTTCTTACCTTTTTTTCTTAAGACTTCTCCTGTTTTTGCAAGTCATGGAGCACACACACAGTCTTCTAATTCCTTAGACAGTGTGACCGAGAAAAATAACAGGAGAATACAGAAGTGTCAACAAAACCATAATTTGAACTCAAAATTGATAAAACTAGAGCAAAATATGGACAAAGGAGAGATAAACATGAAGACCCCCGAAACAGTATAAGGAAAATAAGACCAGTAGGTCCGGAAGGGTAAGCGTCGTCAGCTTCGTCGACGATACCCGCCATGTTAATCTAGATCAAATTCAAGTAACGTCACGTCCTCACACCGAGATATCAAGTAGTGCCAAAAAACCGCAATGCTCACCAGTGATTAGTGAGCATTGAAAAAAAAAACCATCGACCTTCATATCGAACAAAGAAATAGCATCTTTCCCTGTGAGATCGTGATGACGACCAACACAAGTTTGTTACTAATCGGTAACCTTATGATATGATTATTTCACTAATGAGCCAATAAGTATGCGAGTGAATAAATGTGATTAACTGATAACCCGGATGTGACAAGCAATACACAACGATGCCTTATCGGTTTACGTACTGCTTACTTCTCACTTCAAATCTAGACCAGACCGGCATTTATTTCTCATACAAATGGAGGAATAAGTAACGCGGAATTTCATTCCCTAGAGTTTATTACTGGGTTAAGGTAGAACGGAAGAGGAACCCGTGAATATGGGTCTTTAGGAACATTCACGAAGCTGTATCTACATCAATAGTCCCACATAAATGTTCCTGCAAGTGAAATATTTACTTGTAATTCCAGTTCTATTTATTCGTAAATCATTCAATGGACAAGTTCGGGTAAGTGTGTTTACACTTACTGGTGCCATGCGCAATGAATAATCTCGATTGCCCTGTCTTTGTATTGACTTTTGTCATCTATGTACTTTCTATAACTCCACCTACTATATATAGACAGGCATCCACGTGTGACAATAAACACGACAGCATACGACAGCCCTGTTAAAACCCAATTTTTAATTAATTTGTCAGCATAGACCAGCATTGCTTTAAGAAAAAAAATGGCATTAACACATTTAGATATATCTTGTAAGTTTACACCAATGTAAACGACTTTGTCAAGGTGAGATTCTTAGAAAATAAATTAATAAAAAAGGTTATTTCACGCTTCGCTGCATTTATATTGCTCGTAGATATTCAAGCATTAGGTGTATACTTAAATTCAGTAATTATTAAAAGGGCCAGGTTATTTTTTTTAATTTGCTTGAAGCAGATCTACATCATTAAGGTTTAATCGAAATACCATCAGAAGTTTGCAATTTTGTCGAAATGAGATGTTTAAATCGGAATCTAGTTCCAATTTAGACAGCAACAGATGATTTACATTTAGAAATATTCCAAAGATGATTAACTATTGCAGACAATTTTAACACGAAATATCATTAAATCAGAATGTTTAAAACTTAATTAAAATTCCATTGTAAGGTAGATCTGACTAGATTTTTTTAGTAATACATGCTTATGCTCATTTATTTGCAGGGGTAGTCAAGGAATAGAACGGACCATATGTAAGGTTATGTATCATATTTAACGTTGCAAACATATTTTACAGGCATCTATTAAAGGTAATGTAATATTTAAAGATAGAAGAGATATGCTAATGCCAACTCTAATTATATGTGAGTAACGGGGTTTCCAAAGTAGTCCATATGTTAAGTTACATCCAACAGATATGTACAATATAGGTTATTAGTAAGGAACAATATTTTTTCTATGTCAAAAATAGGTCGACTTTGGCCCCACTTTTGAGTGATATGTAAAGTGTCATGGTTAGATCTTAAGAACCAATTAACCTATCACGATGAGAATAACACCGTATTTTTGTAGGTGACAGTTTGCTAATGGCCAACAAGGAAAAGCACAGTAACAAAAGGCTTAAAGACCAAACTAAAATTTATTTACACAGTTTAAAAAAATAAAATATAAAGTAGTCTTTTGGTCTGTTTAAAACTCCCACACTTCAAACACTGGCAATAAAGATGCCATTTAGCGTTGACACTGAAATTAGAGGACCCCTGTCCCTCGGGAAGGGTTTGAACCAAGAAATTATATTGTTTGTTAGCCGATTAATGCTTCGAACACTATTTTTGTGAAATCTGTTATTTCGTTTTTGAGAAGTTGATTGAGTTGAGTAAATATTAAACGGTCAACAAAAGACGTACGACGCACGACGCACAATGACGGATAAAAAAGGGTCAACGAGCCTCACTCAGGAAAGACTCGGTATGTCCTCTAAAGTATCCCAGCAGTAGCAAATGAAGAATTACAAAAGATGTTACGCGAATCTGCTCCACAGAACTCAAATTACGCTCCTAAATTTAACATCCGAAATTTAACAAAAAGTTTTTACAAAACAATTATTTCAACTCAAAATCGAAAAAAGGTAGGGCAATATATGGCCAAAGGAAAGACTTACTGATAAACTCTTGAAAACTTACGAGGATAATCAGACAAAGTACTCCGGAAGGATAAACGCATCTTCCTTCATCCACGACATCTGCCATGTAAATATAGATAAAACCAATTAAATGTGACGTCCTCAAAATGAGAACCAGAATATTCGCAATGAGATCATGCTAGCGACTAAAAAACTTACCCACAGTCTTCCTTAAACTGCCTCTTTCGGACACTTCCGTTGTAAGTTTGCCCATCACCCGACCACCACTATCAAGAAATAATTATATTCGATGAAAGACTTTGAAAACAATCAACTGCGACACGTAATCACCGTAGGTTGGGGGAAGTAGAGATGTTACTATAAAGAAAGGGATACCAGTCGTGATAAGTCTCATATCAAAACAGTCAGCCAGATATTGACGGTAGTGGCCCCGTGAATGGTTACACAACAATCTATTTTTTCCAATAGCTAATTAATGTTACTAAAAAACAAGAGTAAATACCGGAAATAGCAAGTAAGGGCACACCTATTCAATCTCGTAATTATTATACAATTCCCAGTTGCTGTTGCTTTCAATAATAGGATTTAACAATTTTTGTATATCACCACCGTTCTCGGGGCCACTACCGGTGCACCAGTACGTCTCGCCATTCTCGGGGTCACTACCGGTCCACCAGTACGTCCCATCATTCTCGGGGCCACTACCGGTGCACCAGTACGCCTCACCATTCTCGGGGTCACTACCGGTCCACCAGTACGTCTCATCATTCTCGGGGCCACTACCGGTGCACCAGTACGTCTCACCATTCTCGGGGCCACTACCAATCCACCAGTACGTCTCACCATTCTCGGGGCCACTTCCGGTGCACCAGTTCGTCTCACCATTCTCGGGGCCACTTCCGGTGCACCAGTACGTCTCACCAATCTCGGGGCAACTACCGGTGCACCAGTACGTCTCACCATTCACGGGGCCACTACCGGTCCACCAGGACGTCTCACCATTCACGGGGCCACTACCAATCCACCAGTACGTCTCACCATTCTCGGGGCCACTTCCGGTGCACCAGTACGTCTCACCAATCTCGGGGCAACTACCGGTGCACCAGTACGTCTCACCATTCACGGGGCCACTACCAATCCACCAGTACGTCTCACCATTCTCGGGGCCACTACCGGTGAACCAGTACGCCTCACCCTTCTCGGGGCCACTACCGGTGCACCAGTTCGTCTCACCATTCTCGGGGCCACTACCGGTCCACCAGTTCGTCTCACCATTCTTGGGGCCACTACCGGTGCACCAGTACGTCTCACTATTCTCGGGGCCACTACCGGTCCACTAGTACGTCTTACCATTCTCGGGGCCACTACCGGTGCACCAGTTCGTCTCGCCATTCTCGGGGCCACTACCGGTCCCCTAGTACGTCTCGCCATTCTCGGGGCCACTACCAGTCCACCAGTACGTCTCACCATTCACGGGGCCACTACCAATCCACCAGTACGTCTCACCATTCTCGGGGCCACTACCGGTCCACCAGTACGCCTCACCATTCTCTGGGCCACTTCCGGTGCACCAGTACGTCTCACCAATCTCGGGGCAACTACCGGTGCACCAGTACGTCTCACCATTCTCGGGGTCACTACCGGTGCACCAGTACTTCTCATCATTCTCGGGGCCACTACCGGTGATCCAGTACGTCTCACCATTCTCGGGGCCACTACCAATCCACCAGTACGTCTCACCATTCTCGGGGCCACTACCGGTTCACCAGTACGTCTCACCAATCTCGGGGCCACTACCGGTGCACCAGTACGTCTCACCAATCTCGGGGCCACTACCGGTGCACCAGTACGTCTCGCCATTCTCGGGGCCACTACCGGTGCACAAGTACGTCTCACCGTTCACGGGGCCACTACAGGGGAACCAGTTCGGCTCGCCATTCTCGGGGCCACTACCGGTGAACCAGTACGCCTCACCCTTCTCGGGGCCACTACCGGTGCACCAGTTCGGCTCACCATTCTCGGGGCCACTACCGGTTCACCAGTTCGTCTCGCCATTCTCGGGGCCACTACCGGTCCATCAGTACGTCTCACCATTCTCGGGGCCACTTCCGGTGCACCAGTACGTCTCACCATTCACGGGGCCACTACCGGTCCATCAGTACGTCTCACCATTCTCGGGGCCACTACCGGTCCACCAGTTCGTCTCGCCGTTCACGGGGCCACTACCGGTGAACCAGTACGTCTCACCATTCTCGGGGCCACCACCGGTTCACCAGTTCGTCTCGCCATTCTCGGGGCCACTACAGGTGAACCAGTACGTCTCACCATTCTCGGGGCCACTACCGGTCCAACAGTACGTCTCACCATCCTCGGGGTCATTACCGGCGCACCAGTACGTCTCACCATTCACGCGGCCACTACCGGTCCACCAGTACGTCTCACCATTCTCGGGGCCCCTACCGGTGCACCAGTACGCCTCACCATTCTCGGGGCCACTTCCGGTGCACCAGTACGTCTCACCATGCACGGGGCCACTACCGGTCCATCAGTACGTCTCACCATTCTCGGGGCCACTACCGGCGCACCAGTACGTCTCACCATTCACGGGGCCACTACCAATCCGCCAGTACGTCTCACCATTCTCGGGGCTACTACCGGTGCACCAGTACGTCTCACCATTCTCGGGGCCACTACCGGTTCACCAGTTCGTCTCGCCATTCTCGGGGCCACTACCGGTGAACCAGTACGCCTCACCATTCTCGGGGCCACTACCGGTGCACCAGTTCGTCTCACCATTCTCGGGGCCACTACCGGTGCACCAGTACGTCTCCCCATTCTCGGGGCCACTACCGGTTCACCAGTTCGTCTCGCCATTCTCGGGGCCACTACAGGTGAACCAGTACGTCTCACCATTCTCGGGGCCACTACCGGTCCATCAGTACGTCTCACCATTCTCGGGGCCACTACCGGTCCACCAGTACGTCTCACCATTCTCGGGGCCCCTACCGGTGCACCAGTACGTCTCACCATTCTCGGGGCCACTTCCGGTCCACTAGTACGTCTTACCATTCTCGGGGCCACTACCGGTGCACCAGTACTCACCATTCTCGGGGCCACTACCGGTCCACCAGTACGTCTCACCATTCAAGGGGCCACTACCAATCCACCAGTACGTCTCACCATTCTCGGGGCCACTACAGGTCCACCAGTTCGTCTCGCCATTCACGGGGCCACTACCAATCCACCAGAACGTCTCACCATTCTCGGGGCCACTACCGGTGCACCAGTTCGTCTCACCATTCTCGGGGCCACTACCGGTGCACCAGTACTTCTCACCATTCTCGGGGCCACTACCGGTCCACCAGTACGTCTCGCCATTCACGGGGCCACTACCAATCCACCAGTACGTCTCACCATTCTCGGGGCCACTACCGGTCCACCAGTACGTCTCGCCATTCTCGGGGCCACTACCGGTCCACTAGTACGTCTTGCAGTTCTCGGGGCCACTACCGGTCCACTAGTACGTCTCGCCATTCACGGGACCACTACCGTACGTCTCACCATTCTCGGGCCACTACCGGTCCACTAGGTCTCACCATTCTCGGGGCCACTCCCGGTCCACTTGTACGTCTCCCCATTCTCGGGCCCACTACCGGTGCACCAGTACTTCTCACCATTCTCGGGGCCACTGCCGGTGCACCAGTACGCCTCACCATTCTCGGAGCCACTACCGGTGCACCAGTACGTCTCACCATTCACGTGGCCACTACCGGTCCACTAGTCCGTCTCACCATTCTCGGGGCCTCTACCGGTCCACTAGTACTTCTCGCCATTCTCGGGGCCACGACCGGTCCACTAGTACGTCTCGCAGTTCTCGGGGCCACTACCGGGCCACTAGTACGTCTCGCCATTCCCGGGGCCACTACCGCTCCACTAGTACGTCTCACCATTTTCGGGGCCACTACCGGTGCACCAGTACGCCTCACCATTCTCGGTGCCACTACCGGTCCACTAGTACGACTCGCCATTCACGGGGTCGCTACCGGTCCACTAGTACGTCCCGCCATTCACGGGGTCGCTACCGGTCCACCAGTACGTCTCCCCATTCTCGGGGCCACTCCCGGTCCACCAGTACGTCTCGCCGTTCACGGGGTCACTACCGGTGAACCAGTACGCCTCACCATTCTCGGAGCCACTACCGGTGCACCAGTACTCACCATTCTCGGGGCCACTATCGGTCCACTAGTACGTCTCGCCATTCGCGGGGTCGCTACCGGTCCACTAGTACGTCTCCCCATTCACGGGGCCACTACCGCTCAACTAGAACGTCTCACCATTCTCGGGGCCACTCCCGGTCCACTAGTACGTCTCACCATTCACGGGGTCGCTACCGGTCCACCAGTACGTCCCGCCATTCTCGGGGCCACTACGGGTCCACTAGTACGTCTCGCCATTCCCGGGGCCACTCCCGGTGCACCAGTACGTCTCACCATTCTCGGGCCACTACCGGTCCACTAGGTCTCACCATTCTCGGGGCCACTACCGGTCCACTAGTACGTCTCGCCATTCACGGGGTCGCTACCGGTCCACTAGTACGTCTCACCATTCTCGGGGCCACTACCGGTGCACCAGTACGTCTCGCCATTCTCGGGGCCACTACCGGTGCACCAGTACGTCTCGCCATTCTCGGGGCCACTACCGGTCCACTAGTACGTCTCACCATTCTCGGAGCCACTACCGGTCCACCAGTACGTCTCACCATTCTCCAAATGGCTATGTTTTACTATGTTGAATTTATTTGAACAGTGTGACTTTCCGTGTAATGTTTTCATACCCTGTCTTTGCTGGCCCTTTGTCCTTTGACATACACTGTCACCGAATCGATTATACAAATAAACCTTACATACACTCTATCAAAAAATATCTGTGTGTTACATGTCTACGTGGACCTTGTACACATCTGGCTTCACATACATATTAAATAAACAAAGAAATTTCATCAAATATTATGTGAATACATATTAATATTTTCTTCCGTATTGAACACCAGACGGTTATAATTTGACAATATGAAATCTTAATATAGATATATATTTTGTTTTACATATTTAACAATTTAGTTTTTCCTTCTGTATGTTAGCCTCAACGGGCTACATATGTAGTAGTGTACATAGTGGAAAAGTTAAATGTTCTGAAAGAAGACACATCTTTGAGTAGATCCTCAAGATTGATAACAAAAAATTGGAGTTCTTTAAAATTCATATTCCATTAATTCCACTTTAGGACTATTATAGACTTAAGTTCGTGTCATGATCTGGGGGCCTGGAGTATAATACGCCCGTAACACATATTCAACAGACCCAAGGGTCCAATTACAGAATTGATAACAATGATAACAAAAGTATAATAAAATATCACAGATAAATACATACAAACAATATTAAGAAAAGTGTAGCATGCATACAGAAGCGTAATACTCATCTAAAACGTAGTGTCTTTAGGCGAGACTTAAAAGAAGGCAAGGTACAATCAAACATACAGTCAAGCTCACGGGCATTTCTGTTAAAACTTCTTACTGCACGATGAACAGTGCTAATTTTTTTCGGACATTAATCCTACTAGGTGGACAACTAAATTGTAAAATCCGAGCAGAACGTAGAAATTTTCTACTTAAAACGAACTGTCGAACAGCCCATGAATACATTTAAAAAATAAGCAAATATCCAGATATTGTCGTCTGCTTTCCAAAGAAGATTAAAATGTTTACATATATCAGAACAAGAATGGCTATGCAAATTAAATTTGCCTTCAAGCACAAAATAAAAAAATAAAAAAATCTTTGTACTGATTCTAGCTGGTGTATAAAAGTAGTTTGGTGCGGTGACCAGATCTCGCTGGATTGGATTACGTTTCATGGAAAACCTTATGGTACAATATTTTTTAATAATAATTTGCATACGCCACTTTTTACACCAGTCAAATACTCTATCAATATGATATTGTAATTGTTCACAGTCAAACAAAGATGTAACTCTTTTTCAAAATTTGCTATCGCCAGCAAACATAAAACAGGTAGAATGTTTCAAAACTGCAGGTAAGTCATTGATAAAAAAAAAAATATAATTTGGGCCCAAGTATGGAACCCTGACGGTCACCGGAAGAAACATTGCACCACCCAGATGCCGCCCCGTTTACAGTCTCTCTTTTCTGCCTGTCATTGAGATCACTGTTGAACCAGTTTAAAATGTTACCCCTGATGCCATAAGCGTGAAGTTTATGTAATAATAACTTGTGACTCACTTTGTCAAATGCTTTAGAAAAATCGGTATATACAGCATGGACATCAATGTTTTTATCAACAGCGTCAGACACAAAATCAGTAAAACATGTGAGATTGGTAACTGTAGACCTCTTAGGCATGAAACCATGTTGCTCATTACGAATTAGAGTGTTTACAAATGATGAGAATTCACCGTCAACAAGTCTTTCAAAAAGTAATGACAATATTGGCAATAATGACACTGGTTTATAATTTGTAACACAGTCTCTCAGACCAGACGTAAATATTGGTATTACTTCGCTTTTTATTGAAACACTCAGGAAAAATACCCTCACGAAGTGAAAACAGATCATAGATAGGAACACACAGTTCGTGTGCGCATTCTTTAAACACTACACCAGCGATATTGTCGTATCAACAAGCCTTCTTTACATCAATATTCTTCAAAAGCTTAAGAACTTTGGTACAGCTCAGCTCAATTGTAGAAAAAGGATTTTCAAAAGAGTTGTTAGTAAATACACTGGGTAAATGGTCATACGTGAGATCATTATCGGAAGTAAACACACTCTGAAAAAGTTATTGAACACTTTGGCAGATTCAACATTGCATTTAGATTAAAATAATAACGGTTTTTAGGGATGGTTACAGCGGTTGTTAACAAGGTTTCCCGTAATAACTCGAATTATAAAGAAGCGTAGCAGATTCATATCCTACGTGTTCATGATGTGCTTATAATACGGACTGTGGGTGTGAGTTTGTATACTATATAGAACTTCAACAAAATTGGCAGTTTATTTGGGCAGATTTTTCAAAGCAAGTTGTCCAGAAGTACAAAAACGGCAATAACTACGAAAAAAAACTAGTTAAATATAAAAAAAAAGATGTGTAAATACATCGTATATCGATCATGTGTATAAGGTGAACTTAGTGTGGTTGTTTAATAGGAATAGTCTGAACAAGTTTTCATCCGCAGACTGACAGATGTACAGATGTATCATCTGAAATGTTAATTTGATTTGAATTGCATTCATATCTAGAGAGGATCACATCTAGCAGGTCCAAAAAAAAGTAATTATAAATAAAAACAAAAATATCATATCGGTTTATATTTTCTCGACCTCGATGTCCAAACCAGACTCAAGGATTTGCATGATACTGTAGGTATATGTGGTTGTGTCTGCTGACAGCACATCTAATAACAAAATCATTGCCTGAAAACACTATTACATTTCCGTATTGCGAAAAGAACTCAATTTTCTTGAAAACCAAGGAAATCCAAATAATATGTTTTCCATTTTATGAAAGACTAAATACTGGCTGATCATATGTCTGTATTTCAATCTTTCTGAATACCTACTACTGATAAGGACACGGTCCTGCAGCGAGAACCCTTATGTCTTCTCCTCAAACAAAAATTCTTATATCAGATATGACGCATTCGTTCTCTTATTATGAGCGTTTTTCCTCCACCAAGAATTGAGCGTTTTTTAACTTCATGTTAAATCGAATCGCGATATAAATATATATGCTTGAAAATAGTTTGGAGCAAATGTTTGAAAAGCACAACAAAGGCAACAAGGAAATATATTGAAAATGAAATGAGAATTATTCACCACCTGATTGACACATCTTTTTTAATACGGTTGCGCGATTTTCAAACAGGCTGTTCCTATTGGGGGAAAAAACTATGCCCCTCTTCTGGCCGACTTATTTTCACCCGAGGCTGAATTTATTGATGAGCTTATAAGGACTAGTAACATAACCTAGCCAAGTCCTTCAATTTCACATTCGGGTCTACCGACAATGTGATATCGTTCAGTAATAAGAAACGTGTCTACCACGTCGACCGGGTAAACCCTAGTACACAACAGTCTGGTGCCAAACTTCACACGAGATCCTTATAAACAATGCTGGCTCTTCTAGTTGCTTATTCCATTCCCAGTACCACCAAATCAGGGTTGCAGTCGTTTTGTGATACTGTTTACTCAAGAATTGGAATAAAAGATATGTGGATTTGGAAGAATTCAAAAGATCTTTTGGTCATTCTTGAACATCCTCTTCTCAAAAATGTTTCTTCTATCAAAACTTTCGACTTTTCGACCATTTACACTACCATGCCCCACACCAAACTGAAGGTGGGAGAGCTTTCTTGTCAAAGAAAGGCGAACGGCGATATAAATATGTATGGTTGGAAATTATTTTGGAGCATACATTTGTGAAAAGTTCAAAAAGACGAAAATAAAATATAATGAAATAATTCACTGTTTTCATGACATTAATTCAAAATGAAAGACCGAGCATAGAGGAGGTCTAATAGGCGTTTCTGTCTATTAATTAGTTTGCGAAGTTTGATATCACATTTATGACCGTAAGCTTAACATAGACACCTTCCAGTGATGCATTCCACATGTATTTGATGTGTGGCTGTTGCTCATTTTCTCCATATTTATCCAAAACGAGAAGCCCAGAGGGCCTGTATCGCTCACCTGGATAATAAAGCAACATTGGAAAATGATTGGGCCCTGTCCCTCTGCATCGAGAAAGCCCAAACCCTCAGTTTATACAAAATTTAGTCCCCTTTGCTGAAGGATGTTCCGGGCAAAATTTAGATAAAATACCTCCAATAGTACAGTAGAAGGATAATAAAGGTTTAAACCTCAAATTCCCCTATTGGGCCCCACTCCTCAGCACCAAAAGGGGTCACAACCTCCGTTTATACAATATTGAGTCCCCTCTGCCCAAGGATGCTCAAGACCAAATTTGGTAAAAATCAATAAAGCTGTTAAGGACAAGTAGTGTTTTAAATGAAAAGTTGATGGATGGAAGATGCATTATGGCATAAGCTCACCATGGTCCTACTGACCAGGTGAGCTAAAAATACCAAATCAACTTTAAACTGGGTTGTCTTGATTTTTTTTCTCCTCTTTGTTGACGTCAGATAGAAAAGGCTTTTATTGATAGTTTTGCGTTAGGAACAAATCTTGGGAAACATGAACATTCTTCTTTTAAGGTAAAAAGAGTGCCACCAAGCTGACACTGTACCAGTTATAAAATAAACTTTAACCATACTTTTTGAATAACAAAAAGACCAAGGGTGAGCTCGAGGTTGTTAGGCCTGTAGCATGTCGGAAAAAAAATAAGTTTGCTCGAAGGAATGACTTTGACATACGCTCAAGGTCACCAGGGTCTAATACGTATATATTTTCAAGCAACTTCTTCTGCATAACTAAGAGGCCTA